AGAATCAATAAGGGTTTCTTTGAGGAGCCGATAAATTAGTGATTTTTTCCTTTGAAAAAGTATGGAGAATCTTTAAAAACATTTTAAATAGCTGAGATAATATCTTAACTTTATAAAGAATATAGTGATTGAACTTTATGTGTGGTAAATTAACAAGATTGAAGTGGATCGTACAGATAGGTGATACTTTTGTTTACATCGCCGCCATTTTGAACATTTGCAAATTATGTCACTAGCAGGTAAGAAGAATAATATAGCAACTAGATCACAAAAAAACTCGACCTCAAGTATGTCAAACAATGAAAACGAAGTTTGGAAACATATGCAAAAATAGTTTTACAGAGAACACTGATAAAATTGTCCAATGCGAGTATTGTAATGAATGCTTCAGCAGCAAATGTTTGAGTTTGTCCAAAAACGAGTATGATACGTTTAAAAACCCAGCCTTACATTGGTTTTGTCCGAATTGTGAGGAAAAGTTATGAAAAATTTGAAATCAGATCGAGAAATTGAAGTAAGATGCGCTGAATTTATGCAAAAAATGGAATGCAGATTAGTAAATCTAGAAACGGAAATAAATCTTAGGTAAACACTGAGGAAGTAAATGACATTGTAAAATCGTTGATAGGTACATGTGGTACAGGCAATGAGGCTGTTAATGTTAATATCGAAAAATCAGTTGAAATGAAACTTTCAGAAATAAGAGACAGCTCAAGTAGACAAAAAAACATTATTATCCATGGAGTAAAAGAAAGCACAGAAAAACTTCCTTCTGTTCGTAAGAAAGCAGATACACACTTCTTCTCAGAATTTTTAGAGTAACTGCATGCAGATAGTAACTGTTTTAGCAATGTGGTTAGAATTTGAAAGAAAACAGATGATAATGAGAAATCTAGGCCTATGAAGGTAACATTGAACAATACTGAAAGTAAAGAGAGTGTAATGAAAAACCTTTCAAGATTAAAAAACACAGAAACTGGTAGTCCATTTTATAACATAAGTGTGACCCATGATACGACTAAAACATAGAGGGAACAAAACAAAACAAAACTAAACGAGGCGAAAGAGAAAACAGAAAATGATAAATCGGGGAAATACCACTTCATAGTTCGGGGGCCCTCCTGGGCAAGAAGAATAGTAAGGGTATTAAAGGAAGAGTAATACCAAAAGATGACAGTGTACATAATGTAAATTCGTTTAAAGTTATTGGTGACCAGTTGAGATAGATATTAAGCATGAATTTAAGGAATATTTTTGCGTAAAGGTAAACCTAGTGAATAACGATAAGCTAATAATAGGTTGTATTTATAAGAGCCCATCTTCTTCTGAAGAACAACACAAGGCATTAAATGATTTACTTGTGAAAATTAGCAAATTAGAAGACTCATATTCACATGTGCTTTTGACAGGCGATTTCAATTTTCCTGACATAAACTGGGAAACGTGGTCTGCTAAAGATAATATTAGTACAAACTTTTTAGAATGTTTACGTGACTGTTATTATCAACAGATGGTAGATAAACCAACGATATCGTATTAACCTAGAACCATCATTACTTGATCTTGTATTAGTAAATGATAAGAACTTTATCCAGAATATTGAATATCAAGACCCGATTGGGCACAGTGACCATAAATAAAGGCAACATAATGTTTTGGTTTTTAACATTAAATGTTACCTAACATATGAAAACTCGAAAAGCGTAAAATTTAATTATTTTAAGGCTAATAACGACAAGTTAAAGGAACATACGAATGTTAACTGGGAAGAATTACTAGCTAATAAAGATACAGAAAATATGGTTAGCATGTTCATGGACAAATTGTCTAATGCTATGAATTTACATATACCTAAAAAAACATATATCAAAGAAGAAATTTAAAACACCTCTTAGTGCTGAGGCTAGATTATCAATCAGAAAAAAGCATAGAGCATGGGAAAAGTATAGAAATAACAGAGATAACGAAAGCTACAGGGGGGTACACTAAAGCTCGAAGTAAAGCAAAAGCAACAGTTACTAAAAAAAGAAAAAATCGGGAGAAGTCTATAGCAGAATCTGCGAAAACAAACTGTAAAAATTTTTGGTCTTATGTTAATGCAAAGCGAAAATCTAAAAGTGGCGTATCAGAACTTCATGTAAAAAGAGATGGTAAAAACTTTATTGCAAGTACAGATACAGAAAAGGCTGAGGTATTTGCTGAATTTGTCACTAGTGTTTTTACTGTAGAAAATGATAATGATGATACATTTATCGAAAATATTCTATCTATTGAAGAATTAGCAATTATAACATTAAAACTAAAGAAATCAACAAACTACTAAAAAATTTAAATACTTCAAAATCACCAGGACCAGACCAGGTACATCCAAAAGTATTATTTGAACTAGCTGATATAATAGATGCCCCACAATGCATGATTTTCAACAGCTCATTTAAAACAGGTACGGTAGATTGGAAAATTGACCAAATTACAGCTCTCTTTAAGAAAGGTGACAAAAAACTAACTTCAAATTACAGACCCGTAAGCCTGACTAGTATTATATGCAAACTGATGGAGAAACTAATAAGAAAGAAAATCGTAGACCATATGAACCGTTATAACCTTTTTAGTGATAGACAATTTGGTTTTATTGGAGGAAGATCAACTTCATTACAATTATTAAAAGTCTTAGATCACTGGACCAGTATTTTACATAGTGGTGGATCAATTGATGCAGTTTATACTGATTTTATGAAGGCGTTTGACAAAGTCCCGCATAGACGACTTATCAACAAACTTAGATCATATGGTATGAGCTTGCAAACATGTAATTGGATCAAGAACTTTCTGAGCGACCGCCAACAAAGAGTACAAATTAATGGAAATTTTTCAAAATGGCACGATGTTACTAGTGGTATTCCACAAGGATCAGTTTTAGGACCGATAATTGTTATCTTTATTAACGATTTGCCGTCATGTGCAGAGTCTGATGTATACATGTTTGCAGATGGCACTAAACTATATAGAGCTATAAACAACGAAATTGACAATACTATAATGCAAAATGACATAAATAGTATGTTCAAATGGAGTGAAAAATGGCTATTACGTTTCCATCCAGACAAATGTAAAGTACTTCCAATTTCTACCAAATCCAATTATGGGCAAGATAGCATGTATAAAATGTCGACATACGATGGATCTGAAATCACACTAGAAACAGTTCAATCAGAGAAAGATGTAGGAGTAACTACAGATTCAAAGCTAAAATTTGATAAACATATACAGACACAAGTCAACAAAGCAAACCAACTAGTTGGAATTATTAGAAGAACTTTTAAATATTTAGATTACAAAAGCTTCTGTCTACTATTTAAGGCATTAGCCCGTCCTCATCTTGAATATGCTAGTAGTGTATGGAACCCGCACAAAAAGAAAGATATCGAGACAATTGAAAACGTCCAACGTAGAGCAACAAAAATGTTACCCAACCTCAAAGATCTGTCATACGAAGAACGATTAAAAATTTTGAAAATTCCTACCTTAAAATTTAAAAGACTAAGAGGCGACATGATAGAAAAATAAAAGATAACAACAGGGGTATATGACTCAAAAGTAACTGAAGGTTTATTCACTCGTAACACAAGCTCGACAACAAGAGGCAACTCGATGAAATTGGTAAAAAACAGAAGCAGATTAGACATAAGAATATACTACTTTACTAACAGAGTAGTGGAAGTATTGAATAGACTACCGGACATCGTAATGACAGCAAAGAATGTGAAGATTTTTGGAAATCGTCTAGACAAGCATTGGAAAGAACACCCAATGATATATAACTTTGACATTGAATACACCGATAACACCGGAAGTAGCACAAGTGTAGTTAGTGATGATGAATCAGAGCCAAATATAGAGGAGCAAACTGATCTCCTGCGTTTGGAAACACTTAGGTAGACTCAGGTAGGTAGATAAAAATTACAAAAATTAAAGGTAAGTTTTTAAATTAATTCCATAAGTGAACAGAAATCAGTTAATTAGCTAATTCAAACTTAATGAAATTAGGCACACAAAGGAAATAATTGAATATAATTTGGTGAATCCATTTCAGCGACAGATTTAGAAAGCGTTGATTCTGGAAAAAGAATCCACGGTAAATGAATAGGCTGACGTCACGACAATGGTTTAAGTAATAGTTATCCCATGAGGACGCGGTGTGTCAGTGTAAGATGATCCCGATGGCCGGAGGCCAGAGGGTGATCTTACACTGACACACCAAGTCCGAATGGGATAACTGTTTTACATCCCAGCTGTTTTAGATTAGACGAAAAACCATTTACAATTCATAAAATCTAGTTTAGAACGCCACACAACTATTATAATATACTTTATATATTACTATATAATATATACCCTTTATGTCCCCCGAACACGATGTTTAAATATGAAACCATGTCAACTCGCCTCACTGGCCAATCGGCCCACACTAAATCGCCACTTTAAAAAAAATGCCCCACTCTTGTTTAACAACTCACCCCACTTATGAATAAGGGTAAAATCCCATTGAACAATGAGTCTGACAACTCGCCTTATTTGTGAAAAGGGTTAAAATCCCACTGAATAAAGGTCTGCCAACTCGCCCCACTTATGAAAATATCTTGCTTCCTTTAAATATGTTAAATTACTGAGAGTTGGTATCCAGTCGTCCTGGTCTAGGGATATGTGTCGTCGGTTGATATGCTAAAGGTCTCAAGTTCGAATCCCAGCATAGACAATGGATTTCTTCTACATAAAGTTTGAAAGTGTGTCTTTTCTCAATAGTTTTATTGTGGATTAGGCATTCCCGCCAAAATGTTACAAAACAAAGGAAAGCATGCAAAACAAAGAAACTCAAGCTGGGGTGATCTGGTAGGGCTGATCCGGCTCAGATCACCTCTGGTAGAACAAAGGAGCTGGGATGTAAATGTACTTACATGATTGCTGGTGTTTTATTCTAAATATAAAATATTTTGACGTACCTGTTGATAATAAGCAGAAACGTCAACATTGCAAATATTTCTACAACTTGATATAAAAACAGGTTGAGGAATCTGTTCCCAGCCAGTTGGGCAGAATTCAAAGTCAGTCCAAAATACGTCATAGCATTGGTCATCCTACAAAAAGTATCGTTATGAAAACAAAATAGATAGAATTATCACATTTAGTATATTATAGTTGGTTAGACTTCTTTAAATTTTCAGAAAACAATTCTTAAAAATTCATTTTTTTTAATCAGCATTTTTTTTATATGTATGTTAATATATAAGAGTCTATCCTAAATTGAGGTAAATTATATGGCCTTTTAAATACCGTTTCGATTCCTAACATCACTGAAGAGACATTTATTGTCGAAATCCGGATATGTTGTACTTATTTGTGCACCTCATGTTTGCGGTATACCATCTTTTCCGCAAGTTTATTGTTTTCTGTTTGGTATTAAATCAATAATAAAGATCCATTTTGTTACATCTTGTGATCCGTTTATCTGGCAATCGTCAATGGCAGTCAGCAGTGTTTAAGAACATCCGTTGTTCGACCTGTTAGTCAAATGCGTTTTGTTTAAATTTACTTTTTTCACTATTTTGGTCTTCTGGAAAATGTTGTTTGTGCTTTATTTAGACCTTTTTACCTAGAAATTTGTTTTGCATGCACACGTATAAAAATTGCGGCTTTTATCCAACGCAATCATAGGTTTGAACGTTGTTTTCAATTTAGACTTATTAATATATGATATATACGAATTCTGACTATAAATTTCATAAGTTTTGGTCTGTTATTAAAAAGTTACTCATTAGGTCTCGATGTTAATTTTATATTTTGAGTGTTAAATACTTGATGCAGTAAGTATAAATAGTCTAACAGCTTTCCAATAAAAAAAAACCAACATGCATGTGCGTTATCAATATAAAACACGATGGCAACGCAGGTCAGTGATATCTTATAACTTATTCAACGCCCAATTAACTCTTTTCAAGATTTATTTTACAAGCTACTTCACCTCGAACAGATGCCTTTTATGCTTTCATCACCATTCCATACATCTGAACCAGTTAAGAATTAAAATGAAGACATATTTTCCTTCATGAATCCGTTTAAATTTTGAAAATACCTTACCTTTAAAGGAAAATCAGAAAATCGATGCGGACATAGAATCCAAAAAGGGACTACCATTCATGTTTTATTCACAAAAGTGCCATAGGAAAATGACCATATATAATAAACCATAAAGATAAACATTAAAATGCGAAGTCATATGGTATAGGACTGTCATAAGGCATAGATTTTGGAATATTTGCTTTTCAATGATCTTTATTTGGAAATTGATCTGGCTTTCAATTTATTTATTCGAACTTCCCTAATGAGTCTTGTGTAGACAAAACGCTTTCAAAAGTTTATCATAAATCAAAGGAATACAGGTACTTTTTAATTATAATGTGTTATTTTGAAGATTATACAATTGAAAACTGTACTTATGAAAAAAACTGGACGCATGTGTGCATATTATTACATACCAAAATGTCAAAGTGTAATTTTATACAAGTAAAATATTGTATATAAAGCCAGATTTTACTGCTGATGAGTGCAACAAATAAAAGCCAATTATATTCTGTTGCAAAAACCTAAATACATGTCATGCATGCAAAGATATGAACATACCATGTGAAAGCCATTATGAAAGATGTCTTCAGTAGGATTTTATGTCTGGCTATAGTTAGTATGTTTTCTCGTTTTTCCTCCTTAGGGTTTTGATGAATAGGAAAAGGAACAATTTTACCATCATGTTGTAATAATGGCAGAATATCATTTAAGTCGATCTTATTGAATTTTGCTATTTTCCGTACAAGTGTCTTTGCTTCGTCTGCTCGTTTGTTTGCAATCAGCCATCTCAAAGATTCATCTATGATCCTAGAATGGGACAAAAATATATATGCATCAATCATCTTCCGGTAAGCAGCCACTGTCAACTGGTATACTATTCTGCCACATTCCAACAGCACTTGTAACGAGGTATTAGTATTTTACTTTTTTACATTTGTAAAGTTCGATTAGATAAAGCTTGGTGGTACTAAGAAGACAAGCTATCCCAAATATGTTATACCTGTTACAATTCAATGTATCAAGCACACATGTATGAAAATCCCTATTGTGTTCTTCATCGTTGTCTCTTTTTTATGCACAAGTTTATTATTAACGGTTTGTTATCTTTGTTGTTGTGTTCAATTTGTTTTTCAGACAGTTCCTGTTATCTTTTATTACATGTAACTTACACACGCTATTAAAATGTTAAATGATAAGCAAACATGTTATAAAACATGTTATCAAATTGAGTATTTTGTATTTGCTTACAATAACTGCAAGCAATTTTGAAATAGTATATAATTATGTATCGTTCGTGTAAACAACATTATTATATAGCGATAAATGTCTCTTGCTTTTTTACACCAATTGTCTTTTCGTTCATACAAAGAACATAGTAACTCGTATAAAGTGTTTACCAGTAAGTGAACAGGACAGGTACACCAAATAAGCCGAAAAAGAGGTGTATGTATCTCCAAGAAGTATTTCTCATCAGATATCCCCACAAAGATAAAAGGACCATCGTGAAAGACCATCCGAGACCTCCGAAACCAGATACTGTACCTCTTTGTTCCTTGGGAAATAATTCAGTTACGTACACTTGAGCAGTCAACACAAAACCCTGAAATGTAAATACTATCATAACGAGCAGGATTGATTACGCCTGTTAGTGTTCAATCAGCCTATCATAATATATGATAATTACGACTAGTATGTGTGTTTTGATATCGTTAATTGAAAGATGAAAAGGTGCATGCGATTTGGTAGATGGAAGTAATTTTCCGAGAAAAATATCCACTTCTGGAAAAAAAAGTTGCATCAAGTCTAAATGATTACAAATAACATATCTTATCAATGTTATATTATCCTGTCTCTGGTGCTCAGAAAGTTCTTCTAAAATTGATGTTTATGTCAGTTTTAATTTTCATAAAATATTAATTGTGTCAAAAACGTTACATGTATTATAGTCATTATCTTTGCTTCATTAATGTCGTATATTCTATCAACCGTACCGCTAACTGGCGCTTGTTAAACTGTTTATATCCATTAGGTTCGCTAACAATTCAGTAGATATGACCTTGAATAAGAAATACAAATATTTTGACGAAATGATTATGTTGTTTTCTGTGTAGAAAGTTGACAGCTCAAAAACGCAGTTGAAAGACTCAGCGTTTTGAGAAGTCAACCTTCTACACAGAAAACAACATCATCATTTCGTCAAAAGATTTTTTTCTTATTCAAGGTCATAACTACTGAATTGTTAGCGAACCTAATGAATATAAACGTTAAAAGTTAAACACACGCCATATGCTAGTGTTTTGCAGGAACCTTAATACTAGCAATATAGGTGAGGCAGAAGAGAGGCGATCGAAAGATACCAAAAGGGATATTTAAGCTCAAAAGTCAAAATCAAACTGATAATGTAATGACAATAAACACGAAAAACGAGGATCCGGAAGAAACCAATCGGGTTGAATAACCTAAATCATAAATGATAAGAATACAGATTACATAGAATAAACCAGAATTTCTACTTATTTATTAAGTGAAATCATTTTAAACAATAAAGTGCTAATTTTGAGTATAATTGATTTAAATCATTTCAGTATATTCTTGTGTGTGTGTTCACATCTTAATTGGTGTATTCACAATTTAGACAAACTTACCTGCTGTACCGCCCCGAAGGCAAATCTTAAGATAGTATAAATGATGTAACCAGGAGCAAAGCCAGCAGCAACGGATGTTAATGTACACATGACAAGACTGAATGTCAACACTGGTTTCCTGCCATAACGATCTGATATAGATGGAAATAACAAAGCGCCAACCCCTTGGCCTATAGTTACGAACATCTGTGTCATTGGTCCGAGTCCCGCACGGCTACAAACTAGGTCCCACTATAAAAAAAGCGTTACCTTCTATAAAGGGGGCTTTTTTTCTAAAGAACACGCTTTATCAAATGAAATATAAATATAAACTTGTATAACAATACGATGTTTCTTCTTTTATTTCATTTAGTCTTACCCCAATCCTGTATATTTTAGCCAAATCATAATACCTCTATCAATGGGTTATATTATACAATGAAAAAATGTGAACTTAGACATGGGAAATTTCCGTTTTATTCGATGGATGTTAGCTTTTAAATTATAAGCTGCTGTTTTTAAAATTAATTAAAATGGGTTTCTATTTTTCACATACTAGCTTCTAGTACATGTATGCATACTTGGGTAATGCTTATTCATTTTCATTTAAAAAGGGTTTGAGTCTACTATGATCTTAAAATATATCCATAAGTCATATTATGTTTGAACGCACTGTCCGATCCATGTGATATACTCACATTGTGGTCCGTATTTGATCGACTAAAATCTTATCGATAGTTTCAACAAGGTAAATTGGATTTGTTTTCCGTTTTTTATTGTACCTGAACTTGTATGAAAAAATTAAGAGATAAACGTCAATGAGGCGTCAACACTACAACACACGACACTTAGAATTCATACTGGCCTGGTTCATAAACATATTCAATCATTTTCAAGCGGTGTTTCTGTTTGTTCAACCAAATGATCCAAACACAAGTTATAATTATATTTTATTTGTATGAGATCTTTGCTTAATCCTTGCTTTGTGCGATACGTTGAACAGAGAAACACGATCATGTGCATTTCTCGTTTTCTTTGGTATGACACCTTTTTTGTAAATGTTTTTAAAAAGGCATAACCAATTTCCCATCATACCATTTTTTAAACAGTCTTTTAGTCAATACTAAAATTAAACTATCAGTGCTCCATACGTGTATTTATAGATTTTAATAATATAATGTATTTCATAACTTTTGACCAAATAAAAAAATCCAAAAATGGCTTAGTACTGCAATCCTGAAAAATATTGAGTAAGAAAATTATAAAAAGAAAAAAAGAAAACTTAACCATAACCAATATCCTATCCGTGGTTAAGCTATTTGTTTGATGCAAGGTACAGATTATCTAACTTTGGTTAACGGTGACCTTTTATGCTATTAAAAAAGACGAACTGAACAATAGGCAATATTATTTTCAAAATTGCCTTAAACATAAATTAATACCGCTGTAAAACCTTTTATTGCTAGGAAATTGTATACATTTATAAGAAAATATATGTACATAAACCAGATTCCCATACCTTAATATTGAAATTCTAAATGGTTTCAAGATCTTTCTGATTTTGACATCGCGAGGGAAACAAGAACAGGAAAAATTCGTTATACCTCTTAGAATCGTTTTCATAACAGCGTAGACAACCGTAAAACTTTTGTTGATTATAATACTGAATGAGTTACCTTTAACTTGTTTGTCATTGGCTAACGATAACAATGATTTTACGCTCACTCAGTCTGTCAGAGGCCTTCCAGTGGGGATTTAAATAATGATCACTTGTTACACATTTCGATACATAAAATGAAACTTTCTTTTCACAAAACTTTAAAAGATTTGTTTTAAATATTTGTTTATACCATCACATACAACAGTTTCATTTTAAAGAATAATAATGTTCAGAGCTGATATCATTAAATAATCCAAAAATACGTTTATTCATTGTAAAAAACTTAAGTTCATGGGGTTAATTCACAAAATATCTTATTGATTACGAGAAGAAGTACTTCTACGTTGTAATCATTTTAAAAGAGTGGCCTACTATTTATTCAATGCATACATGTAGGTTTTGTTTGTGAAGAGTTCAGGATAATTAAAATATCATTTTTTTTTTAATACCTTGATTTTTTTTTTACATATATCGATTCATTCATTCAGATATTTATCAGTTTGTCTTGGCTATTCAAGTCCTACACAACGTCTCACGAATTTGGTCTTTTTCTTACAAAAATTATATTCTTGTGATGTATTCTTTTGTTGAAGAATGAATGTTGCCCCTTTTTTATTTTTTGTCGGTTATTTTTTGTGTCTCATTGACATATATGACACCCGGACTACCCCTTTCTTCATATTTAAAAAACATACGAGTGACATCAATACCAATTCATGACAGAAAATAACTAAGTTAAACTTACAACAGAAGAAAGATAATGAACATTTTATGGTCTACTTAATATCGAAGTCAGAATGTGGTCTTTGCAAAGATGTTGTAATTAATCAAAAACAACAAAAACCAAATAATTTGAATATTTATATTGGAAAAAGTAACGTTGTGTAAATCATTACAATTATTTTTATTCCAAATGAATATCAAGCTGTTGCATTTTTCCGCTGCGAGCAAATTTTGACTTTTGACCGCATTTTTAAAATTAGTTTTCTTGCTGTAATCCTGTTGGAAGCTGCGCTGTGTAGTTTATTTTTCGTTTATTGTTTATTACCAAATATAGTCAAGACAGACATACAAAGTTTGAAAGGTTACATGTTAAAATAGTGAATGGAAATGGGAAATGTTTCAAAGAGACAACAACCCGACCAAAGAGTAAACAATAAAGCCGAAGGCCACCAATGGGTCTTCAACACAGCGAGAAAATCCCGCACCCGAAGGCGCACTTCAGCTGGCCCTTTAACAAAAATATGTACATCACACTGAACTCCTAAACAAATAAATGAACTAAAATTAAAAAACATACAAAATGAAGACTAACAAAGACCAGAGACTCCTGAGTTGGGACAGGAGCAAAAAATGCGGCGGGGTTAAACATGTTTAGTGAGATCGCAACCCTCACCCTTTACCTCTAGCCAATGCAGATTAAACAAACACACAGCAATACACCGCTACATATTGTGCCAAAGTCGGGCTGGGGAGGGTGCATGTTATACTGATTTAATCCACTGGATTGTGTGCCTAAACCAATTTTAGCCAGGGAGGGGTTGCATGTTAAACTGCATTAGCCCACTAAAT